CTATGTGGGAGCTTTGTTTTCAGGGCCAATCAGAAAACCATAACTTGTTGATATTCAAAACGATCTTGAAATTTATAGAAGGCTGAGAACTGCTCTCACAGCTACTGTGATGTGATCCCATATGTTTTGCCAGTTGTTTTTCTCGTTACTTACTCTAATACTGTCCTGATAATCATTCACTGTGTGTAACCAGTATTCACTGTTAATTACTCAGACCTCAATTCTCCCCTTCCATTTATTGAATGTGAAATAATTCACCAAATAGAGCCAAAAAGGAGTAAAATTCTCCCACTAACTCTCCCCCTCACTCCAATATGAAGCTAGAGCTGAGTGAGAGCATAGAATGTCCACGGCTTCCAGAACACATACTCTTCTAATCATCTTTCCCAGTAGTACAGAAAATGGCCAGAATTTGCAAACAAGAAATTCAGTTGAATTATGGGAAGAATAGACCCAGTAACATACCTTTTCCTTGGCCAAATCTCCAGCTGGGCCAAATTTGGCCTCTCAGTGGCACAGATGGGTTATAAAAAGACTTAGTCATGATGAGAATGATGAAGGAAACAGGAAGGAACCCTTCTAAATATTTGACAGTCCCTTTTCCAACCCAAGATGGGAACATGGTTTGTTCCATCCAATACTGCCCCCAAATGCCCTCAATTTATCTAATGTCTTTCTGAAAAGGAAGAAAGTATCCTTGCTTACGGGTGAGAAACAAGGGTCTTACAAACAGTAGGATGTCCAGGCATTTTGCTTATTTTTTAATATGTGTGTTACATGGCCTTTCCTGTTCACTAACTCTTTAACTGCAGGTAAGAATGCTCTCAATAGGAGTAAGATGTCACTTCATGAAATTGGTGGAATTTGTAAAAAATTACACGATGGATGTGCCAAGTCTACACATACATAAGTGATCAGTCACAGTCATATCTTACTCCAAAAATGAAGGGAAGGGATGTAGTTTTTAATAATTTAGCAGCAGCAAATGGAGATTGATACTCTGGTTGAAATTGTTTTGAAAAAACAACACTGTTACTCAAGACAGCCATGAAAAATGAGATTATCAAGCCCAACATTGTAAGTCAAGGACACACAATCTTTTGTCCTCTTTTGGTACTTTGATGACAGTCACCCAATTGACTTTGTTACTTCTAGCATCCTATTGTAAAGAGGCTGTCAGAATCACTGTTAACTTGTCATGTGACCCAGTGAACAAATGAGATAATTTTGGCTTGGAAAATCATACAAAAATCTGTTAAAAAGATAGTCCCAGTTATGTGTAAACATCAAATCTAGGGGACTCTTGTATAAAAACATAATTAGAACTCTAAATTTCTGAACTTGATTTTCCAAAGTTGCAAGAATGGCATGCTTTTTGTTTTATTTTGATTTTGCTTGTGTGTGCATGTGTGTATTCTTGGCACACTGACCTCACCAATATAAAATATAAAAATATAAAAATTCACCAACATTATTTCATAAAATCACTACTCAGTATTAATTTCAATGAGGTTTTACAAGCCTATACAATGGGGTTATAGATCAGAAGTCTGCAAAGTTTCTCTGTAAAGGGCCAAATAGCAAATACTTGGGGCTTTGTGAGTCAAACGATTTCTGTGGCTCTATGTAACTCTGCCATTGTAGCCTGAAATCAGGCATAGACAGTACATATACGAATGAACATGTCTATGTTCCAAGAAATTTTACTTACATGTGGCAAGTAGGATTTAACTCACAGGCTATAGTTTGCTGCCTCCTCTTATAGATTTATCTCCTATAAAAGTTACAGCTCTCTGCAGCTGTTCAGTTTTCCCCTTAGATAAAAATGTTTTTTCATTATCAAGACACTAATGTTAATGGCAATTACTTTATGACAATTTCCTTATATAAGACACAAAAGATATGACCTCTAATTACCTCTCTAAAGGATCTGTCACATTTCATGAATTACCAGGAGGACTGATATTGTCATTGGCTCATTCAACCTCCATTCAAAACCCTCTAGCATGCCTTTCAGCACTGCAGATGATGGGGCATGAACTATATTTACTAGACTCTCTTGCAGCTAGAGTTCCAGAGGTAAATATGCTATTTCCTGACTGTGATAAAGGTGGCAGTTAGCTTGGAAGTCTAGGTATGTGTGGAACTGACGGAGTTATTCTTGTAGGTTCAAGTAATAACCTGTTTATCAGCCTCCCAATGATAATATAAGCTAGATAGATTCATCAAATATCACTTTTTGCCTGAACTGGGAGACTGAATTCTGTTCTGTGTTGTTAATAACCATGACTAATACTAGGGATGGTTATGTTAGAAAGTTAATAGCAAGCATCTCCAAAATTATGTATATATTTGCATTTTATATGTTTGTATATTTATACATTTTATGTATCAATTTTAGTTTATTGTCATTAAAATATCCTGTTACATATGGTGAAATAGAAATATGTATTTAATATTTATATAAAAACACTATTTCACCACATGTAACAGGATACTTTAATGAAAAAAAATTTCCAAGATATAAAAAATGCACTTTGATAATGTAGTCAAATTAAAATAAAAAAGTTATACATTTCTAAGATACTTTTCAAATTGTATATAACTTGACATGTGCTTCCTGGAAAGGAATTTCTTTAAAGCAAGTTTACCTGCAGCAAATTTTCAAAAAATGATGTTTATCACTATGACCTCACCCCTTTTCTTACACTAAGACTCCATTACATATAGTAAGATGACTAAAGAGTCAGATGATGAGTTTAAAAAAAATATCTGAGCAACTAGATGTAGTGGGTTGTGTGGCTGAATTCTTGGTCTGATTGGTCCAGGGATCCAGTACTGTTGTTAATAAAGAAGTCTCCTATTGGGAACATGTTAACGATTAAAGAAACAGATACAGTGTCACGTAAAGTAATCATTTTTTACTTTCAAGGCTAATCAAAATGGTTCCAGAGACATATATAAGGCAATTATATTTGCCCAATCTGGCACAAGATCTACTAAAAAGAGAAAATATCTACCTATTGATCCATAACTTAAATTTATCCTCTTATAAATATAGTTATATGATTTTAATGCTATATCTATACCCACCCATGATAACTCTGTGTAGAATACACTAGAACATGCCAGAACCTATCAATTCCCCACTTTGCTCATGGACATGTTCCAGGCAAGGGAACATGATTCTACGACATCAGTAGTCTGTTTTTATTCCTTTAATTAACCCAAAGCTTCACAACCCAAATATCTATTCCGAATGTATCAGCCTCATCATCTTTTTTAACTCTTCCTAACAGTAAGTTTCCTATTTTCAGAAACTTCTTACCAAAATGTCAGGAAAATTATTTCAGTGGACTTTAAAATGTTTATGTTTTAATTTTCTGGTTTATGAAATATTAAACATCTTGAGTATTAAGTCTGAGGAAACATGAGAAACAATCAGATGAGGATCCTCTCCGAACCCAAGATAGATATTATAACCAGCAATCATCCAGCACTTACAAGAAGCCATTTGTTGTCTCATTTAATTCTGACACCAACTTAAATTACAGATATTATTATAATTCCCATTTGACAAATAAAGAAATTGAGGCTCAGAGATGTTCAGTAACATGCTAAAGCCATACAAGTGGAAAATGACAGAGCCAGCACTCAACTCCAGGTCTGTCCACTCCAGTTACTGCCCTTGATTACCATGTCAGGGTCGCCTAAATGCTAGGCAGTGACAATGTTTTTGACAGTCAGCAGTGCCAGCAAAAAAAAATGTATTCAATTTCTTGAAATTGGGAGATTGCATGCTTCTTACTTATTTTGATTTTAAATCACCCTTCTTTTTATTAAATAGTGGTTTACGACATAATTAGTAGTAGCTATTCTCTGACATTACAGTCCCTTGTGGGACAGGTAGGTAGTCCTCCTAGGGAGATCACCTCCAAGTAGTGACTCAGGAATCCAGGCAACATCTATTGTGAGGATCCACTACCTTGGAGTTCTTCACTTCAACCAGGGACACAAGGAAAGGGAGAAAGAGTGAAGAAAAAACTCTGGTTCTAATTGCCTTGGCCTGAAATTGAGCCAAGTTATATCTGTTTATATTCCATTGGCCATAACTCAATTGCATGGCCCTATCTAAATAGAAAAAAGACTGGCAAATATAGTCTTCCCGTGTACCCTAAAAGGAGAGGAGAACCTAACACGGGTGAACACTAGCAATGACTACAAGAATTCTGTATCAATAATCAATGTCCTTACATAGCAAAATCAGCTGCTGATGACTCTATTTTGAAATACTATTATTATTATTATTTTACCTTACTAGTGCATAAATCCAAAACTCTCTACCGAATCCTAATCAATATGGTACATGGAGGAAAAACATGTTCAGACTAATTAATTTTAAAATAACTAGACTGTGGCAAATTAGGGGGACAAAGAATTGGACTGAAACTGAGCAAAAATAAGTTTTTATATCAATATTGTTAAAAAGACAGACTGTTACTAATTTCTACTAACACTTCTTTCTCATCACGCATTCTGTACAACATAGTCCCCAGTGTATCTCAGATCCTATGTAAAGAATAATATGCAGTATTTAAAAGAGTGATTTGGTTATTAATAGGTTATCACGATTAATAAGTAAATATATAAATCTCCTCTGTTTATAATAAAACATATCCAGTAGAACCTTCAATCCAAAACTCAAAAACTTACATTTTTTAGAACCTATATATTCAATTTATGGAATTAAAAGAATTAGTATAATTATTTTCTTAAAAGAGGTAGTTCAATGTCCTCTTAAGAATATATTATATACATTGGGTAGTAGCCACACTGATTCAAGGTGGTTCACAAGACAAGGAGCAGGAAGGAAACAACAAAATATTCACAATCTTAAAGGAAAACATTGGCACACACCTGTAGTCCCAGCTACTCAGGAGGCTGAGGTGGGAGGATTGCACTGAAGCCCTGGAGGTTGAGGTTGTAGTGAGCCATGATTGCACCACTGCACTCCCACCTGGGTGACAGAGCAAGACCCTGTTAAAAAAGAAAAAAAGGAAAGGAAAGGGAAGGGAAGGAAAGGGAGAGAGAAAGAAAGAAAGAGAAAAAAAGAAGAAAGAAAGGACAAAGAAAGGAAGAAAAGAAGAAAGAAAGAAAGAAAGAAAGAAAGAAAGAAAGAAAGAAAGAAAGAAAGAAAGAAAGAAAAAGAAAGAAAGAAAGAGAGAGAGAGAAAGAAAGAAAGAAAGGAAAGAGGAAGAGGAGAAGAAGGAGGAAGAGGAGGAGAAAGGGAGGGAGGGAGGAAGGGAGGAAGGGAAAAAGGGAGGAAATCCAAATATCTAAAATTACAATGGTATTTCCAAAGCATTGTCCAAAGTTTCAGCTTTTGGATTGACTGCCAATTTCTCAATTTTAACAGTGAGTTCTGGAGGAAATTTAAAAATATTTTATGTGACTGATGAATAAAAAGTGGGAAGGACATCATGGCTTCTTGCTGCATGGATATAAACACGAATGTTTGATGTTTCTCATCCCTGATGCTGTGGAATTGCCCTCTGGTCACCCTCCACTTAAGTTCAGAACAAAAGTAGGCCAAGAGGTAAATCACTGAATATTTTAAATAATCTTCCAGAGAGAGTATTTGTTCAACTGGAAAACACTGAGGGCTGAGAACTTTGACAGTAATCTGCAAATCCACTAAACTCATCTGGTTTTGATTCCCTCATTCATCTGAGTTATCACAAGAGTCTGAGATGATGTCATATGTGCCCAAAGTGATTTTTCAAACAATTATCTTTAAAGCTTGATTTGTTAACATTCAGCAACCTTTATACATTGGCGAAGTAAAATCACTACTGAAAGGTTCAGATAAACTTCCAACTCAAAGAATTTTAAACAGATCTACTTGGGGGCAAAAATCCTCTAATTTCTAGCTTATATCTACAGACTTTTTAAAAAGCTCCACAAATAAAGTCCACCATCTGAAACTTTTTAATTGCTGAGCTCCTTATTAATCCTACTTGATGTCCCATAAATTACATATAATGGGACCATTTTGATAAGGCGCTAATAAGATCTTCTAAGCTCCACAGTTCAATATGCCAATGAACTATGTGGAACATGGGTCTCTCATCAGCACCTCAAATTCAACACAACCAAAACTGCATTTGTTGTTTCCATAAAACTGACTTTCTGCTCAGTTGTAACTCCATTCACTCAAGCCACTCAAGGTCAGAATCTTTAAGTCATCTTGGACATTTTTTCTCTTCTCTCACCACACCTGAAAAGTTGCCAATTCCATTAGTTATTTCTTTGAAATAGCTCTTGAATTTGCCTCTTTATTTCCAGGCTACTGTCATTACTTCAGTTCAAGTATTTTTTACTTCAAGTCTAGAACACCAAAAGAACTTTCTTACTGGTTTGTCAATCGCTTTTTTCCCATCTATCTATGGACAGATTCTGTTCTTATCTGCCACTCACCTATTTTAAAAATCTTTTCTTGGGTTCATATTCCTATTCCCAAACTTAATCTCACCTAAAGACTCTCAAGAGTTTCTGGGGCTAACATCTTTATAGCACTATTTCCACCCTAGTTCTGTGCACACCCTGACATAAAATCCAGAGAAAGTACACTGCTGGTTTCCCAAATACAGCTTGCAAGGTGTCCCTCCCCAGCTTTGCTCCTGCCTCTCCTGCTCACCTGGTGTGTCCTTCTCCCCATCTCCTCTCCTCCATCTGCTACCACTTATCAAACCTGGATCCTTAGAAGTTCAGCTAACCCTGTGACATTTTAATGGAAGTTATTTCTCCCTTCTCTTACCTACTATCATTTCTTGCTTGTTGCACTCCATATACATTGATCTTATTTTGCCTCATATTCTTTCAAATATCTTTATTCCTCACTAGGTCTTAAATCCCCAATTCCTATTCATCCTTTTACCTTCCACAGCTCCTCTCGCTGTATTTAAGAACTCCCTTCTTTGCTGAGCAAATGCCTACGTATCTTTCAAGACCTATCTCATCTATCATGTCCTTAGAGAAGCCTTTTGTGACTTTCCAAAGAGTTACTTTATGCAGAGTTTTCATGCCTCATTTCTGGCTCTGATTCCCAACATTGTAATTTTTTGCTTACATATTATTTACTCTTTTGGAAAATAAAATGATCATGTCTTATTCAGTCTTTTTGATCTGTGTGTTATCTCAAGCCCCACTACAGGACCTGTGTGATATATAGTATCCAGGAACTGTATAGTAAGCTTGCCTATATTAAGATAAATTTTTACAAGGTGGCCCCATTAACCTGGTTTCACCCTCAATGGTCTAATAGATAGGATCCACCTGGAATTATTAATCATAGTAAAAAATTGGCAACAACTTGAATATTCGAAGTTGAGGATGGTTAAGCCGGCTATACCATCTCCACATGATACACTGTTATGCAACCATTAAAATTATTATTAAACACTAAATTACACAGAAATTTAGATGCTGTATTGTTCGGTCAACAAATCTTTACTATTAGCATAAAAATGAAAATGTGAAATACAGATATATATATATGATGACCATACTTACATAAAATAAATGAACAGACATAAGAACTATCGCCAAGAGAAAAACTAAAATACCCCCCAACTCTTAATAATGGTGTATAGGTAGTAGAAAAGTCTTTTCCTCTTCTTCTACTCTTCTTTTTTTCCATGTCTTCTACAATTCATATGTATTTGTTATAACCTAAACAACACAATATATTTTTAAAGCCTATATCAACTATCATTCCCAGATCAGTTTTTAGGGTAAATTTTTGTATTTCAGATTTTGATTTTGATTAAATTTTTATATTTCAGCTTTTTGTGTGAATGTTTTTCCTATATTCTCTTTACCTCTACCCTCCCGTTAATAGCAAAGCTGTCTGTACTTTAGGTCTGGAAGCTCAGTTAGCATTACTCAAAATGAATTAACAGCTGCTCTGTCAGAGAACAGGATATTTGTCAGAGGGCAAGCAATGAGGCCAGCAAACTCTGCTGTGACCTGCTTTCCACCTCTGTAGGACTAGCCCAAGATTCACCAATAAGGTAGAAAATACCACTCTTCCCTTAGAGTAACATTCCTTTTAGCATCTTTTGGACTAGCCCAAGATTCACCAATAAGGTAGAAAATACCACTCTTCCCTTAGAGTAACATTCCTTTTAGCATCTTTTGGACCAAAAGGAAAAACATCTCAGTTTCTTTCCCTCTCTCCCTGTTATTCTGCCCCACTTTCTTCTTTCTCCTACTCTCTTTTCCAAAAATAAACTGCAAAGCACTTAGAGTTTTTTAGAGTTAGGCATAAGGTATAAATGGCTACTCTTTGGTTTTCCAGATTAATGTGAAAGTTTTTACTGTTTGCCTTCCAAATTTTTCCTGTGGGTACATTTTCCCATTTGAGATGCCTGTGAGAGCACATCAAACCATTCCAACAAGGCCATTTCTTCACTGGGATTCACAGCAGAGTAATTTAATTTTGCGAATACAGAATTATTTTTCTTAGGACAATGAATATCTGCTTTTTCTTTTCCCTGGTTTTCTTCTCCTTCTCCTTCTTCTTCTTGCCATATATGTTAGTGGCTTGGGGTTGTAGCATATGCTGCTATTCAAGCACAAGGGTGATGATACAGACTTTCACTGAAATGATTTTTAATGCAATCAATCTCAGACTTGTGATTATGACATACCTGCTTCCTTGCCTCTCCTTTCCTATTAAAAATTAGTTCCCAAACTTGCGTCTGCAATGCCCTGATGATTTGACTAATGAACCAACAGATACATGTAAAGTCAATTAAATCCATGACAGTTTATTTTTTGAATGATGGGCTAGGCAGTTAGATATAAACTGAATTGTGAAAAGGGAAAATATGTTATTGTGTGGAACGTTATCAGACACTGCAAATCCACTTGTCTCTGAGCCAAGAAAGCATTGCAGCAAAGATACTCTCTTTAAATCTTTTAGAAAAAGTAAAGAGAACATTTTCTACTCCAGTAAAGGATGACTTTGGGAAAGAACTGGTTAGCATGATATCAAGATTCAGGAAAATTCCAATCACTGATGGAGAATGAGCAACACATTTTCCCAACGTTTGTTGAAATTATTAAATAAGAAAGTTGCAATTCAAAGTAGGTGTTTACTAGAAAATGGGGAGCAAGGGATCAAAGAGGATGAGGAGATGTTGTCATGGAAACAGCCTTTTCCTAACATTTGCCTTTCAAGGACTTTTGAGGCTTTCATGTACATTGAATTTTTAATAATTTTCTAGATAAGTGACCCTATTTATGAACACTGTTCATAATTGAAGAAAGAGTGCTGTGTAGAATTTGGATTTCAATAACTGTAATTATAACTCTCAGTAATTTTCTTTGAAACAGAATTTTTGCTTCAATACTACTTAGGGATTGAGGAAAAAGGCAAATCTTTGAAGAAGATAGTTTATCAGCCATACCTTCATTTCAGAAAACAATAGCAAAGGGAGATGAGGAGGACTGTGGAAACAATGTGGAACTGTGAAGATTTTTGTGGCAATTCCAAGAGATTCTCAGGCCCCATGAATGAGCAGGCAGAAAGAAATGTTTCTCACCTGATTTTACAGCAAGAGTCATCCTTTTATGTTCCAAGGGGAATGGTTAGATACGTTCTCACAGGCATCTCAGATAGGAAGATGTACCCACAGGAAAAATTTGGAACACAGTGAAAACTTTCGCATTAGTCAAGAAAACCCAAGAATGGCCGTTTGGAGGCAAACTCCATTTGGAGGCAGCTAATTAAAGTTTCTCTGTGTCCAATAGGAGGGGTCCACCATATGGCGGTTAGAGCACTGATCTCCAGGACCAGCCTATGTAGGGCCTGCTCCTTCCCCATCTGCAGCTGAGGCCTGCCAGCTCATTGCCTCGGTATCCTTCGGGCTCCCTGTCTTCATGGCCATTCTTACCTAATGTACAGATGCTTCATTTTCTTCTGCACATGCTGTCACCTCCAACTTGTGGTGA